GTTTTTTTTTATTTTGCTAAAGAAATTAAGTATGTTTTTACTTAAGAATTTGAAAAAAAAAATTCATTAAGATAAGAAATTATAAAATTAAAAAAAGATAGGAAATTATATTCTTTTTCTTTTGAGAAAAGGAAATTATATTCATAGCCATGTATACATCAAACTACCAAAGAAATAAACACAAAGTCCAATTCAAGCATTAAACACTCGAATGGAAAATATATCTACGAAACACTTGTAAAGCACCGTTTCAACCCCAAGATTTATACATGTATTCTCAATATTCCCCTTTATTTTTTGATGTTGCAATTCAAACCCCCATAAAGTGAACAATCGCGTTTTCTCTCTAAACGCTCCGATCACCTAACCCACCCGTCGTGGTACGGCGACTCTAAAACGTTACCCATCTTCTTCTGTAACTTAAGGTTCTTATAAAACTTCTTTATAAACTCCTCAGCTGCTTTATCCACCACATGATCGTTATCTCCGCCGTCTTCCAACGGAAACGGCGAATCCGTCACCCTTAGCTGCCTCACCGCCGGAAACGCCGTCAACGGCGACTCTCCAGCCACCGAAGCCGCCACCATATTCGTTTCATTCTCACCTAACAACTCAAAAACCTTCTTAACCGCCGCGGCCACCGCATCATTTTCGTTTTCATAACCGCTTTGGAAGCGGCGTTTGCGTTTGCACATATAGGCAAAAGGGTCGTTTGCATTTGTGTTTCTGCAGCTGAACTCGTAGTCACGGAAGCGTGCGGAGGATCTGACGTCAACACCGCCGGTAAAGCTAGAGCCGCGACGACGGAGGTTAGTGATGGCTTTGTTGCCTCTCTTTAGCATTAGGTTTAGGTCAAGCATCAGTTTGCTTTTGACCGTACCGGTTTTTAAAACGCAGAAAACGATACGCACGATTTTCCATAGCCTCTTGGCCGCGACTTGAGCATTTTGTTCCATTTCTGTGTATAAGCTTCTTTTTGGCACAGAAGATTCCATTTTTTTATTTTTTTTAGAGAGAAAAAGCTT